CGGACGGGGCCAGGGGCGATTCTCACAATGGCGGGTGCATTTCTCCGCCGAGAAGGATCCCGGCATTTGGATCGAAGGCCGCATCCGATTCACTCCTCATTCACGCTGGCTGGCTCTCCTAGATTTGGAGAATGACTTCCTAGCCGGCGAATACTTACCGGACGGCGAATCGATCAAGGTAGGGCTTCATTTCAGGATTGATGAGTACGACGTGGTGGTTGGTGAAAGCGTGATTGATGAGTACGATCTTCGTTTGAAGGCACCGGAGATGGTTGATCTGATGGAGACGACGGTCCCTGGAAAACCGGGAGGACGATTTTGGGCACTTATTGAGAGCGACAACGAAGAACAGGTGGAGGATCGCGACTCGACAGGTACGATGATGCTTCCACAGTTTTCGGTACCGATGGAGTTGTCGGCGCCTACGGTGATTCCCGATCGTCGTCGACCAAACATTCAAAAATTCAAGCCGGCAGTGAAACCCTGGATCGTCCCGGTTCCTAAGGTATTCCGCAAACCCGTTACTTTGTCAGATTTTATGCCGGAGTTTTGGACTCTGGTTACTCGAAAGAAGAAGAAAGGAAAGAAGGGTCGATCGCCATCGCCGCAGAGGCCGCCGGTGGCGAGGTTGGCGAGCGCGATTCGAACGGCCAGAAGGGCTCGGTTGAATTCACTGTTGGGTTCTGTGTGCGTGTCGGATCAGGCGACGGTCGTGGGCCTGCTTGACTCGGGTGAGGCCCAGTTAGGAGCCCAAGCCGCAACCGATCCAACATGTACGTGCGTGCATGTATCGCCGCCACTGCCTAACGTGATCGCTACTAGGGTTTTCGAGACCGGTTTTCCGACGCTGGGCGAGGGACGGGCGAAGAGGATCTCTTGCACCGGTGTTATGGTGGGATCCGTGCCACCACCCGGCAAGCGAGGGCTGCCGCCCGCCGTCGGTGCTGCTGCTGCCCCTGGCCGTGGGGCTCCGCCCGCCTCTGTTGCTGCGGGTGCCAGGAGGGTCGGCCGCGTTGTTCCGCTCACCGCTGTTGGTGGTGCCGGGCGCGAGGGCCCAACTCCGCAAGTGCCGTCTGCCGACGTAGGCGCAGGCGTAGGAGCTGGTCATGGCGCTCTCCCGCGCGACAGGGCCCGCTGGCTGCTGGTGGTACTCAAGCGCCGGTGCATGTTACTCGGGCAAGTGCGCAGTAGCCGGATGATCAGCAGCCGGTGGCCAAGGCGCGGACCCTAGGAAGGGGTTGCGGTGCTCAAGGGTGTGGTGGATACAGTGGATACAACAGAGATGGTCACAATTTTAACCGGTACGGGCAGTGGGGGGACGATGGTTATGATGCATATGGTGAGGGGCTGCACCATGGATCTTCATCCGGTGGCGGCCGTGGGTATAACCGATACAATGGTGATGGTCCAGGACATTTTCAGGGCCCACCCGATAATTTTGTTGAAGGCGTCGCCAGACCCAATGATCGCTACCGGGGAGGATATCGGCGTGGTGGGAGAGGGAGACGCCCACCTCCACCGCGGCATCTTCCACCGCCTGTTGCGGACACGGCTACGGGAGAGGAGCTCGAGCACTCAGCAGACATGGTGGGAGACTCATCCACGTTGCATGCGGCTGCGGTTGACGCGGTTAGGGCTCTGGCGGCTGTGACAGTTGCGCCGGCTTCTAGAGCTGCAAAATCTTGGGATGGCACGTCTGACAAAGGGCCGGAAAAAGCGGAGGGAGAAAAACTCTCGAAGTGGGCAATTAAGAAGAAGAAGTTGCCTTGCTATAGATGTGGCGAACCGGGTCACTTTGTGGCAGAATGTACTAATGAGCTTTGTGACTATTGCCTCAGATCTCAGCATGTGACCGGTGATTGCCCACTTATATTCGGTCCTAAACCTGGCATTAACATTTACGGTGTGTGTTGCAGGGAGTTGATGTTCTTTGAGACACCGGAGGTGGATTCTCTCCCACAGATGGTTGAGAGTTCCTTCCCAGCAGTAGTCCGGGTTACTAATGGATAGTTGACTGAGGCTCAGATTGTGAGACAACTGCGTGACCTAGTGCCAGGTAACCATCAGTGGCATCTGGACGGTTAGAGGGTCAGGCTTATAAGATGGATTTTCCCACTAAAGAGGATCAGATGCTTTTTCTCAAGTGGGGTTTGTGCAGAGTCCAAGCACCAACATTATTATTGCTTTTGATGAGTGGAAACAGGATGAACCAGAGGGTACACCTTTGGAGAAGGTGTGGATTCGTTTCTTTGGCGCACCACTGATGTCTACTACACAACCTTCTTCTTGTAGAGGTTATTGGGCCTCCAAGTGCAGATCTTTGTAGGACAGTAGCAAATTTCCATCAAGTGGATGACCTAAGGTTTATCAATCCGTAGGAGGCGCAGGATGAAGATGGTCTCTCTCAAGCAACTCTGTAACCAAATAACAAAGACTCTCTTGTGTCCCCAACACACCCAATACAATGGTAAATTGTATAGGTGCACTAGTTCGGCGAAGAGATGGTGATACAAGTGGTATATGGATGGTAGATAATGGTTTTTATAATCCGAAAATATAAAAACAGCAAGGTAACTAATGATAAAAGTGAGCACAAACGGTATTGCAATGCGTTGAAACAAGGCCTAGGGTTCATACTTTCACTAGTGCAAGTTCTCTCAACAAATAACATAATTGGATCATATAACTATCGCTCAACATGCAACAAAGAGTCACTCCAAAGTCACTAATAGCAGAGAAAAAACGAAGAGATTATGGTAGGGTATGAAACCACCTCAAAGTTATCCTTTCTGATCGATCTATTCAAGAGTCCATAGTAAAATAACATGAAGCTATTCTTTCTGTTCAATCTATCATAGAGTTCGTACTAGAATAACACCTTAAGACACAAATCAACCAAAACCCTAATGTCACCTAGATACTCCAATGTCACCTCAAGTATCTGTGGGTATGATTATACGATATGCATCACACAATCTCAGATTCATCTATTCAAACCAACACAAAGTACTTCAAAGAGTGCCCCAAAGTTTCTACCGGAGAGTCAAGACGAAAACGTGTGCCAACCCCTATGCATAGGTTCATGGGCGGAACCCGCAAGTTGATCACCAAAACATACATCAAGTGGATCACGTGATATCCCATTGTCACCATAGATAAGCACGGCAAGACATATATCAAGTGTTCTCAAATCCTTAAAGACTCAATCCGATAAGATAACTTCAAAGGGAAAACTCAATTCATTACAAGAGAGTAGAGGGGGAGAAACATCATAAGATCCAACTATAATAGAAAAGCTCGCGATACATCAATATTATATCACCTCAAGAACGCGCGCGAGAGAGAGAGATCAAACACATAGCTACTGGTACATACCCTCAGCCCCGAGGGTGGACTACTCCCTCCTCGTCATGGAGAGCGCCAGGATGATGAAGATGGCCACCGAAGATGGATTGCCCCCTCTGGCAGGGTGCCGGAACGGGTCTAGATTGA